TACTATGATTGTGCTAAATTTCGTGCAGATCGCTTCAGCCGTTCAGGAGGAGTATTTGTAAAAATAAAGCAGGAGTGTAGTAAGAGCTTCGCTCGCTTCGCTTCGCTCAGCTCAATTAAGGCTATTGTATTCCATCCCTGATCCCTGAAACTAAAAAAATATTATATATTGGCCTTTTTTGCCTTGAAATGTAGTATTATATTACATTTGTCTACTTGTAACAAATCGAAGGCCAGGAATATTGTTTGTATGAAGTAAAATAGTTATATGCAGTTAGAAGTGTGACGAGACTTAATTGTATGTAGGTCAATGGGATGATTAATTTAAAAACCATGGAAATTGCTTCATACTCTTAGCACGATTTTCAAGCACATGAAGACGATTCAATACGTAGTTCAGAATGGAGGGTTGCTAATAGGATTATTAAAAGTGAACTTGCAACGACAGGGCCTATAATCAAGTGTACTAAGTACTATCAAATTAATGAATGTTTTATATATACATATTTACATATTATATATACATTAATTTGATAGTACGTAGTACACTTGATTATAGGCGCTGGATTAAAGCTCAGAATATTTAGAGGGTTGCTAATAGGATTATTAAAAGTGAACTTGTAACGATAGAACCTATAATCAAATGTTCTATAATTATGTACTATCAAATTAATGAATGTTTCATATTATAATTTGTATTTGTATACAAAGCTACATAATAAGTAATGTTTGTTTTATTCATTACAAAAATACAAGTATGGAGTTTGGTTGAGAAAATAGTTACCTAATAGATGAACTTTCTTATCAGCCTATAAATCCGTGTTCAGTATATGTTGGCAAAAAACCCAATAAGTCTTTGACTTTCGACATAACTCTATTATTCCATGGATAGATAAAATGTGTTCAAAACAAATGTTTAAGTTTTATTAGTAAGAACTAAATGGATAATCAAGAGTACTCCGTAACTCTTTAGGAAGATTGTTTAGTGTTTACTCATAATATGTAACTGTAGAATTTACTTCAAAGCAAAACCACCCCGAATAAAAACATAAGGACAAATAATAGTTTAACACGAGAGCAGCTGCAGCATTAGTCACCCTTATCAGTCACAATTCCTCCACTTTTTACAACCCCGAATAATAAATTACGTCCTTAACTCGGATTGTGATAAAATTAATAAGATTACACTTTTTACAATTTATTCGGGCACATTTTAATGTCATGTTTTTACTGCGGGCGCTTATCTTCACGTACAATATTACTTCCCTGAATGCCCGCTTTCACTTTGCTTGCCCTGGGTGTCGTAAGAATAAAACTTCTTTATTGCGTTCACGCACTACTTTTTCCATTTTCATTGTTATTTTCACAGTGCAAACATATTTTATTTTATTAAAGTAGTGACAGATTAGTTGTTAATGTATTATTAAATGGTTCTAGCTTTATACCTACATTAATTTCAGCTCCTAAAATAATTTATCGAGAGTTTTACATATGTTTAATTTGTTTCAATACAGTTTCAACTTCCAAGGTTCATTAGGTTTTAGATTGTTCGATACTATACCCAGATTTTCTTCATCATTAGACTTATAGTAAATTGAAAAAAAATTAATCTTAGGCTTGTAAAAAACTACACAATGCCATTTTATTTATTGTGTACCAACCATGTATTCTTACTCAGCTTTCTAAGTGTGCGTCCCAGTCTTCTTTAAAAATTGATTAAATGATTACTTGTACGTGACTATTTGTTATCAGTAAAATTACTTTTTGACCGAAATGTAAGGTGTAATAGTAAAGAGTATTATATTTACAAGAAACGCTTTTGTAAACAAATTTTACCTCTTAAACAAAAAAATTATGTTTCCATTTAGTCTTTATAAATGTTTCTGTGTACCGTAAGTTGAAAGTTGATCGAGGAAATAGTACCTGGGGTGATTCTGTGATTCTGTCTCATTTTAGCTTCAAACTATACGTGGTATTGTGATGGTTCATTTTCTTCTGATGACACTAAAACTAAAATGCACACATGTTCCGGACCTACATGTTACATAGCTTGTAGCATTGATTTTTAATAAAGCAAGTAGACTTATCGCCCTATTGTAATATGATTGATAAGAGTTTCATGTATGTAATGTTTCTAGCCTGCAGATGTCAAATAAATGTTTTATTTTTATTTTAAGGTAGATATTTTACGATTTTTGCATTACAAATTGATTATAATGAAATGCAATGTCTTTATTGCGTGTAAAATGAAAATACATTCATTGCAATCGTCATATAAATAAATTAACTTTCCATACAAAGAAAACCATGCAAAAACATACTTAGAAAGTACAAAACCGTACTTTCTACTCTATAATGTTAATTCACTAAAAAATAACTCTGTCATACAAACTATTTACTTACACAATAGACCTTCGACTTTTTTAGCACCTTTTGGAAAAACGTACAGACTAACCACAAGCTTCTTCAGCTGTTCCCTAAGGACCATAAATATATAAGTAGGCCTAGTTAATCTCATGCTAGAAGCCGCATTAAAGGGAAATCCGCTGAAGACATCTCTTCAGAATCTGTTTGGATAGTTTGGTCAACAGTCAATAGTTGCTCGCCCGCAGCCCCTAGCCTCGCACAGCAGGACGCTAGACTGCGCTGCGGGACGGCTTTCGCGCTAAACACCCAATAATACACGCTAATATCACTGAGTTATTGCGGACGATGGCACAATGCGCGCTAGCGTGTTTGTTTAGGTAGGCCACCGATATTTCACGCCTTCAATAGAGGCCGAATAAAGATGTCTGGGTGTGGAATATCATAGAAGAACGGTCAGGGATGAATACATTGTTGACTTTTTGTTGTGACTTGTACCCGCGAACCTCTTGAAATGAGACCTCTGTATCAAAGTGGCCTTTGTGGTGGATATTTATAGTTCGGCATAAAGGAATGTCGGGAGCATTGGTGAATGTTGGCGACCAGAGTGTTGAGGGGTTTGAGAAAGGATAGGGAATGTTGTTGAATATACAGCATAACCTAATATAATATTAGGTATATGATTGTTAACTTAAAACTGGATTAAATGCACGCAGTTTGCTGTACGTTTGGTTGTCCTTTAGTACCAGTTCAATGCAGGCCACAGTGAACATTTGTAAAATGTCAATTAAGCTTGATTGTTCCGTAAGTGGTTTGAAATATGCCTACTATTTATATGTTCATGGTCAAACTATGTTTCAGTGCCATTGTTTTTGTACACACGATAAACTTAGCCTATATTGTAAGAATCTAAAAGTCGAGTTGTATAGAATAAACTCGCCTTTGGCTCGCTGGGGGCTCCGCCCCCAGGCCCCCTAGCTGTTAGTCGTCATTCAGAAATTTAGGAAGGGGTGAGAGGCCATCACCAAGAAGCCGGGGAAATTTCAAGCCCGTAGCACACCTAGAAGTGGTCTAGAAAGCACTCTCCGCATCTCTAAATTCTTTGTGGGGTTGTAATAGCGAAAATCGATATTGAAGTAATAACCATTTCACAAAATATTCGAGTAGATTGATAAGTAGAGAATAGTAAAGTATTATATTAAGTAAATAGTTCATCGTAAATATTCATGTATAAGTTTATGAAAATATATTAAGTTAGTTTTGTTTCCCTGTCAGTTAGCCACAAACTGTATGGCATATCCAGTTCCGCCACGGGGAGGCCAGGAAACGTAGGAACCATATTAATTTACAATTATTTATATTAACAGTTATAGTATTTAAAGTAAAAAGATGTTAGTAAATATTTATAAAAAAAAAAAAATAGATCAAGTTGAAAATAGATCAAGTAATGTTTGTTTCTCTGTCGGTTAGCCATAAGAACATTTTTACAAATTTATATTAGAAAGCCCCTTATACAAAAATTGTGGGTAAATTTGCGGTAAGTGAGTATGTTAGTATTTTTACAATTGAGTTTTTGGTCAAAGGAAGTAATAATATAAGGATAGAAGGGTTCGTTATAGTGAAAATCGACATTAAAGTAATAACAATTTCAAGAATTGATTAGAGGAGATTGATAAGTTAATAAGTTGATAATAGTAAAGCATAATATGAATTACATTGATTATAGTAGATATTCAAGTATATAATTATGAAAATAGATTAAGTAATGTTTGTTTCCCTGTCGGTTAGCCATAAACTTTATAGCAAAGTATTATATTAAGTAAATAGTTCATCGTAAATATTCATGTATATGTTTATGAAAATAGATGAAGTTTTTTTTGTTTCCCTGTCAGTTAGCCACAAACTGTATGGCATATCCAGTTCCGCCACGGGGAGGCCAGGAAACGTAGGAACCATATTAATTTACAATTATTTATATTAACAGTTATAGTATTTCAAGTAAAGAGATGTTAGTAAATATTTATAAATTTATTAATGAAAATAGATCAAGTAATGTTTGTTTCCCTGTCGGTTAGCCATAAACTGCAAGGCATATCCAGTTCCGCCACGAGGAGGCCAGGAAACGTCGGAACCATATTTACAATTATTAACACATGTACAAGTCAGTAAAATTTTGTATAACATAAGTAGATTGATAAGTGAATAAGTTGATAATAGTAAAGTGTTATATTAATAAAATAGATTATAGTAGATATTCATGTATATATTTATGAAAATAGATCAAGTAATGTTTGTTTCCCTGTCTGTTAGCCATAAACTTTATGGCATATCCAGTTCCGCCACGAGGAGGCCAGGAAACGTCGGAACCATATTTACAATTATTTACAAATGTACAAGTTAGTAAACGTTACTAACTAGGTACCTAAAGAAATATAAACAAAAACTTAACTAACTAATAAAAAGAAGAAAAAAATATATACAACAACGGGGACTTTTGATAAGGCAGGCCCCCTATCGTACTGCCAAACTAAAATACTAAAAACACACGAAAAACGACTTATTTCTAAAGAAAAAACCAAAAGAAAATATATACAACAACCTACAGCTAAAGTCAAGTCAGGGAAAGTCAAGTCAGGGTTAGAGGAGGAGATCGTCATACACGATATTCTTCGCGTATGCGATTCCACCTTGGACACGGTCGGGACGGACAAGGACGACTATATGGTCTGGATGCCTGACTCTACTGAGCAGGACGTACAACTGACCATGAGTGAAACAGTCACTGCGAAGATCGACTCCGACGCGATCAATCGTCTGGCCCTGGCTTTTGTGGCCAGTCATGGAATATGCCAGCATGAGAGGAAACTGAAGACGGCGGACACGAAGCGGTGACCCCTCGACGAACGGGAAAACGAATTGAATCCGGGGAATACAAATCGGATCCTGTTGTCCAGGGAGTCGCACTGTGATCAGACGAGGTCTTATTGCAGTCACGATCACTTTAGTGCCGTTTACGAGTCCGCTGTCAATGTTCAGGTTTCTCATGACGAGACACACGGAGCCAATCTTGAGTCGCAGGACATGGTCTGGTACACCCTTGCCAGTAGCTTGGTTCAACAAGTGAACGTCTACATCCATACCATCGTCGTTCTCCTTGTCCACAGAATCAGCACTTCTCAACTCATGAACGACGCCGTCCATCAGGTTGAGGACGGTGTTGTTGATCTGCTGGACATTGGCGTTCATGGTCGAAAGAATGGACCTGCCAGCAATTCTGTCTGTGTTGTGTAGGTCACAAGCAGGAAACACAAAATCTATCAAGTCGGGAAGGGATGTCACGTATTTCACACCGGACAGTGGGATCAGGGCAACAGAGTCACGGCCTTCCCCAAATGGAACAGATGAAATTGTTCCATTGCCTACTTGGAGGAGGAAGTCAGAGTAGGCAGTGGACCCAGAAGTCCGGTGAGGAGTGGAGAGAGAAAAGATTTTGAAACTTGACCACAGAGATGACGCACACAGTGATACACAGGCAATGTCGGCCGGAGTACGAGCCTTGGCAACAACTGGTGCGATCTGACGGAAATCTCCGCAGCAGATAAAGATCTTATTCCCGAATGACTCAGGTGAATTCATGAGATCACGCAGAGATCTGTCGATGATTTCAAAAATGTACCGGTGAGCCATCGGGGCCTCATCAAAAACTATGAGCTGTGCGGCTCTGATGAGTTCTGCCCGCTGAGATCCGTTGGTCAAGTTCCAATATCCAGTGCCATCGCCGAGATCAAGTGGTAGCCGAAACATGCTATGTGCTGTCGTGCCACCAGGCAGATTACCAGCGGCAATGCCGGAGCTAGCGACAGCAATAGCGACTTGGTTACGACTACGGACGTAAGCGAGAATTACGTGTATTAGGAAGGTCTTGCCGTAGCCTCCGGGTCCGTCAAGGAAAATCAATTTTGTTGATCGACGATCGACTTGGCCCTGTAGTAGAGACCGAACATAATCGAAGACCGCCCTCTGGTCGCGGGAAAGTTTAGGTTCCCACTCATCTACAAGCGATCTCTGACGATTTTCACCGTAGATGAGAAGTTCCCTCCCCAGTTCGGTCGTGTCGTCGTCTACAGTAGGGAGACCGTGGTCGGCCAAGCAGGATCCCTGACGTCGAAGGCTTCGATCGATCTCAATCAGAGCCAGCTTGTACGCAACCTCGTGATCAAGAGGATTCCGCTCCAAATGGTCTTCGCACAATGCGTCACGGAAAGCATCCCACAAGAGGGCCGCAGGAGCTCCCATGTTGCACAGAAGGACAAAGAAAGAGCGGAGCCTCGGGCCGACCATGAAACGAGCTGCTTCCTTGAGGGCTTGGTGGTACTCGTCCTCGTCCTCAACCAAACCGAGGGTGCGCGCAACCTGTTGATATGTCGTGCAACCATCACCACCACGAGCGAGCAGGTCGGCGTATCCCCGGCACGGAATGACCATCAAAAGGAGCCTAAGAAAGTACTGCTCGCTTCTGTTTGGCGAGACCCAGAAGAGACGACAGATCTTTTGACCACGCTTTCTTGAGGTAAGGAAATGCTTGCCGTCTGGATGGTCGTACACCTCAGCATTACTAGGGCGTTTGTTATGAATAACGTACTGCTCGAAAAAAGACTGGTAGGTTAAATCGTCGAATACCGAGTCAAGAGGCCTATTGAAATACAAGAGCAGGTCAGAGGTAGCTCCCGAAGTGGCGTGTGTCACGTTGTTAGGGCGGAAGCACACAGTCTGTTTTCCCTCTAGGTGGACAGGGAGACAATCGACTGTGGGCTCAGACTTTGAGATGGGAAAGTCCAAGAGACGCCAGCATGCATCGCTGGCTCCCACCATACGCTTTGTGACGTAGTGCTCAACTTCATCGTCTTGTTTACTAAGAGGAGTAACTTTGACGTTCTGAAGCGAGCCACCCTTCATGAGGTATTTAAACAGATACTTGATCACACGCCGAGTGGAAGCCACCTCCAAGTTGATGTGCGCCTCGTATTTAAGAAGTAATGCTGAGTTGTACGGCACGACCCAGCCGTCATGTACAGGAATGGATCTGTTCCTTGACGTTATGCTGCCCTCATTATCATAGTCTCGCCGGTACTTAACAAAACCCCTCTCGTCTACATGGGTTGATTCACAGGGAGGTTTGGGGAAAAATTTAGAACAGCTGCCTTTGGCAGTGTCCCAGCAAGGGAAGTCGGTCCTGTGATCCGTACCACAAGGGCCGTGGATCATGTGCCGCAGAACCAACGCCCTTAATCGGCCTCCTGCCTCCTCCGGAGATGGAATGTCAGCGCGGATGAGGGAGTCTATGTCCGAAGCCTGTACTGGTCCATCGCCTTCGATTTTAAACACGATGTGGGCATGTGGAAGGCCCCGCATCTGCATCTCGATGACGTGGACTATGTAGACAGACCGACCGAACATAGCTCCGCTGCGCAGATCGCGGAGGAGTTCCAGCAGTTTGATATAGAAAACTCTGCAGGCCGTGCTGGGATCACTGCGACCGCTATTCCGTGGACATGATTTTTTGTTCTCCTCCCAAGTCGCACTATATGTGAATGTGAGAAAAAATGTGGGGAAGCCGAGACGTGAGACCAATGCCATAGCATTCTCGTATCGAAGTTTCATGTATCTCGGCCCCCCGGTAAACGAACTTGGGAGGTAAACCTTTCCAGCTTGTACCCCACCCTCCCCCTGAACGGTCTCGTCATTGTTAATGTCGTGTAGCACCTGACGTCCACCACGATTCGCCGCTTCAATCTCATCCAACGGCCCTATCCTCATGGCATTTTCAGCTGCCTTCGTCTGCGTGAACTTGATGTAGTTGAGCTTCTCGTCCTCGTATCTGGCATACATTTCGACCTGCCATGCTTGAGACAGTCGGCCGAAGTGTGAGAAACGAGGCTCAGACAGCAGAAGGCAACGGGAATAATCATACTGGGACAATTTGTTGTTGTAATTGTCACGGCGACCAATATGCCAGCCCAAAGTGCCTTGAGGATAGAGGAGAGGGTATTGGAAGGGCTCCATGAGAGGACTAAAAAGGTTAATAGAAGTGGGTCGTCCGGATCCAACTTTCCAAACGGAAAGCTTGCGGGGCTCGTACACTGTCTCGTCGGTGCTTATGACAGCGTGCACCTCAACGCCTGTTTGCCTGTCTCCTAGAACGGGACCATGGGTAGATCTACTTGTCACTTGGAAATCCAAGTGAGCGTTCACAGCTGGCTCACTACCCAAACGCCGATAGTGAGCGACGTATGGATTCTGCTGTGACATGTACCGAGTGATGGAGTCAACAATGTCACCATCAAGTAATCTACCCAAGGCAATGTTCCGCCGTTCTTCACCGTCGTCGATATACAGACGAGAACGATTTACAAACTGAACGTCCCCAGTCTTGGTAGTGAACTTTTGACCGGGGTCGGACAGATTGTAGACCTGGTGGTACATTCTCCCTTCGATCTTAAAGAAAGATAGACCACTGGGGTGTCTGTACCCACCAGATACTTCCAAGGCACTAAACGCAAACAGGTCGTTGTAGGCACGAGCCCTATCGAGAAAACGCCGATCCGAATAGAAGGATTCATCAAGAGGGCTTAGATCAAGGACGTTGTATGCCCCTTGTCCGCAACACCACTTCTTCCTACCCTTTTCCTCCTCAAAAAGTGGAGCGCCACAGTGCATACACTTAAAAATATCATTGTCCCAAAGACTAACTTTTTTAAGACTAAAAGCTGGAATATCATTCAACAGCTCCCCCTTCCAAGACCCCATTGGACCGTGATCAGAAATGCTTCGAGCAAGTGAAGCAGGCAAGTGACGAAGATCGGAAAACAACGGATTATGTAACCGAAAAATCTGCACCCTTTGTCGAGAGGCATCAGGATTTCGTTGGCTGTATCGACCAACCGCCTCCCTGTTGACCTCAGGGTGAGTTTGGCTATAGCGATGTACAGCCTCCCTGTTGACTTCAGGGTGCGTTTGGCTGTAACGGTCAGCAGCAGCTCTGTAAATCTCAGGATGGTTTTGAGAATAAACCTTATTTTTCCCTCTGATTTGATCAGGGTGCGTCTCCCGATACTTTTTCTTCGCCGCATTCACTTGCTCTTCCCGCGTAGTTTCCAAAACTTTCGGGCGCCCACGTTTTACCTTTTTAGGTCTCCCGGGACATTTTTTGGGCTTGAAACTGTCTGGGAGGGGGGGATAGGTTGTGGATCATTATCGTCACGTTCGATCGACCGGACAGCGAAGTCAATTGAAAACCTAAGTTTCATGATGCTGTACTGTCCGCCGACGAACGCACAATTCACCAACAACAGTGAGGCTAGTGTAGGGAAACTCCCACATACAAATAACCTAGCCTTGTTTTTATCTGGATCTACGTCTCTTCGGCGGGTTTCATTAACGGCGTGAGAGTCGAAAAGATACAATTGTTCTCTATGACGCCAAATTGCGACGGTGACTAATTGCCCCGTGAATAAAAACCCACCGTCGAGAGAATCCCCGGGCATGGTACTCTCCAAAGTGGACGTCAAAGATTTAACGGCCTCATCCAAGCCATTAACGCAAGTCGGGTACAACCCGTTACTGACATGCGTCATATCATCAACGCAAATCTGTTTGTCATCAATATCAAAATTCCGTGACAGTTCCTCGGGGTAAAGGTACCTGCCAACAACGCAATACTCACGGCGAGATTTCTTATACAAGCAATCGCCGGCCGTGAGTATTTTATCAATGGCAGTTGTATTGAAACCACCGCAGAAAACGTGCCAGGAGAGGGCACAGGCTGCATTAGCCGTGCACTGAGCATTACTACTCTCTCCGAATCTTGGGTCTCCCTGATGGAACGACCCAGCAGCAACGCAAGAGTAATCCATACTATCAATACGTACGGTAAACTCGTATGGATCGCAAAAATAGAAAAATAATAGTCCCAATAGGATTAAGCGATAGTGAAACTTTAACAGGTGTAGTCAAATCAGGTAGCAAAAATAAGAGCGAGAACCAACTCACTATATACAGGATTACCGATTAACGCGTACTGCATGACCAATGACCCGCCATTTTATTTTTTTTTAGGCGTTTTAATTTTAAATTTAACTACAAGGAGTTATTCTTTAAAGATAAAAAGAAAATAATTTAAAAATTTGTCCAAAAAGTAATTTTAAAAATTAAAAACAAGTCGAAAACCAAACAAATTTTCGGAAAATCTAAAAGTAGGGCGTTTTTTTAGGGGTGAAGGGCCTGATTTTTTGAAAACACCTAAGAGGGTTTTGTAGAAAATTTAATTCCTGTTCCTGGATATACTTTCAAATCTTTTCTAGCTCTTACTGTTTTCGAGCTAAATCCGTTTGAAAAAAACGTGTTTTATCGTTTTCAGAGGTCCGCTATTTTGGATTTTTGGGGGGGTTAAAATTTGAAAATGGGACTTTTGAAAATTTCACCATTAGCTTATGATCCCTTAATACAATACTACCAAATTACAAGTCTCTAGCACATTTCTAAACGATTCATATGACCATACCAAAGTCATTATATTTCAATCTTATTCTCCATAAGAATAACACGGGGCTCGTAAAAGTGGCAAAAAACCTTCAAATTTTGAGATTAAAATTAAGTTTTGGGGTCAAGGAGTAAAGTTACGAAAAAACATGTAATGAGTAAAATTTAAAATAAAGTAAGGAGAATGCAAAGCAATAATAATTTTTGAAAAAATAAATTATTTAAGTATGAAAACATGGCGAAAACCGGTAAAAATTTAATAAAAATTTTCCAAATTTTGAAAGTAGGGCGTTTTTTGAAGCTGAAGGAGTGCGATTTTTGGAAAACGCCTAATAGGGTTTTGTATAAAATTTAATTCCTGTTCCTGGATATACTTTCAAATCTTTTCTAGCTCTTACTGTTTTCGAGCTACATCCGGTTGAAAAAAAAGTGTTTTTTCGTTTTCAGAGGTCCGCCATTTTGGATTTTTGGGTGGGTTAAAATTTGAAAATGGGACTTTTGCATATTCCACCGGTAATTTAAGGTCTCTTACTACAATACTACGCAAATTTGAAGTCTCTAGCACGTTTCTAAACGATTCATATGACCATACCAAAGTCGGGAATTTTCAATGTTATTTCCCATAAGAATAACAAGGGGGGGAAATTCGAGATTACGGGGGGGTTAATGTAAAAAAATGCGACTTTTTAGGATTTTCCCGTGGGTTTGGGCCCAAGACCTACAAGTGTGCCAAATTTCAGATCTCTAGCTCATCTAGAAGTGGTCTAGAATTAGTATCCCCATTGAGTGAGTGAGTTACACATCGGGCTGTATAGTTATTTAGATATGCAATGTAAATAATTCTGGACCAGGAAACTCGAGATGTTGATAACTTGCAAACACTGTGTTGGAAATCTATTCGCTGAAAAGTAAATAAATATACCAGAAATAACCCCTCACTAATCTCTCCTAATTATCAATTGCGATGCTGATACGGTAAAAAGGGCGAATAAATAATATGTTATTTTCACATCGATTTCAAACTGATAGGCAAAAACGTTTACAGCAGTTTTGTTTATAGAAAATATTTAGTATCAATCAAATTATTATTACCAAAATATTCAATTTTGTCGTCTCTTATCAATGAACCATGTAGTTACTTGAATTTGTGATTCAGTTACAAAGATATTAAAGGAGGGTGTCGACATTTTTAGGGTTGTTGTGGCATTTTTAAATCATGCTGCTTGAAACCCCCATTTTTTGTCTTAGGACGCTTGGCAAGAGCCTGGAATTGTTTTTCAAATTACTTCAGGCTAGACCTAGGGGTTGCGGCATTATCACTTAGATAAAATTCATTGGTGATTTGGCGGGATTTAAACCCGGGACCTCTTGGACCAAAGTCCCGCGCCCTAACCACTAGACCAGCTCGCTCCCCATAGGTTGACGAGGTTGACCATAATGTGGGGTATAAACCCCCGTAGGTAGACCATAGTGTGGAGTATAAACCCCCGTAGGTAGACCATAATGTGGGGTATAAACCCCCGTAGGTAGACCATAATGTGGAGTATAAACCCCCGTAGGTAGACCATAATGTGGAGTATAAACCCCCGTAGGTAGACCATAGTGTGGAGTATAAACCCCCGTAGGTAGACCATAATGTGGGGTATAAACCCCCGTGGGTAGACCACGCTGCTACCGCGCCGCCGACGCAACGCCCCCAGCGTCGACAGTCTAACAGTATTGTCCGCGTTATTAGTTTATGGCGCTTTTAGATTATCAATGATCGGATAACGACTACTTACCGAACATTCCGAAGGGATTAAAAACAAATGGGGCTAGTTAAGATAAGTCGCTCGCTGGTTGCGGCTGCAGTAGGCTTCACCAGTGGCGAGATCGCCAGATAGACCCGCGGCTACTTCCGTGGCTATTGTATTTAAATATGCTCCATACACTAATTATATCTCGCCCGACTCTCCCTTCTCTTCGTTTAGCGTTTTTTTACACCTTGAGCGATATTTTGGGTGGGGCTATTACTGGCCACATTAAGCCTGTCGACCATTGTCTTTTCGGCGAAAGCTTTTTTGGGTTAATAAACCTGTTGGGTTTGATTTGTGGTTCATTAATGAGTTTAAGTCAGTCCTTGCATTACCTCGTGGATAGTGAGAGAATATATATTTATTTATCAGAGAATTTTATTTGGTAGGGAATGGATCAAACCCTAATACTGTTACCATCTTACGTTTAGATATCAGAATTAATTGATAACCAAACGTTTCTGGTTGATAAAAAAAGTCTTATGGGTTTAGAATCGGCGTTGCTTGGGATCGAATACGAATCCTTAGATTTGAATGTGACACTAGGCCAAAACATTTAACCCAATCCAAAGCGACGCATTAACGATCTTTTAGTTGAAATGTTTTAGTTTGGCTACCAACCTAAGTACCTACTATGATACTCATTTCTCGTCATTATAAAGCATAATGCCCCATAAGGGCCAAACACGGCACAATATTAATGAACGTGTATGGGTTAAATTGAAGGCAAAAATCAGATTGTGCAATCTATTGAGTAAACAAAATTTTTTTTAAAAAATATTGCTCAATTTTAATTATATTGAATCGTATACGGGTGGTGTTGCGCCATATCGTGTCAGTCTGCAAGTGCATCTTCATGAAATTGACTCAACCGTAGGTTGCACAATATTATTGAACTATGGTCACTCTCAATAAGATTGCGTCGTGTATGGGCCCCTTTTTAGAAGTGCTTGATAGTTCACGTTCCAGATTTGTGGCAGCACTCGAACAATTTTACTTCGGCTGGTGATCATTTAGAGTTGTGTTTGCTCTTGTGTACTTGCTGACGTTGTGAGTCAGTTTGTTATTTTAGCCTAGATCAGTTTTTTGTGTAAATTTGAGTGTTTGCCATTACAAATAAAGGATTTACGTTCATTTACATATTCGATTATAGTTTAAATACGCGATTTGATCTTTTCTAGTTATTATTATAGGTAGTAATAGAGAAAAAGTGTATAGTTTTTAGAATCCTTTGCAAATATGAGTGAGAAACAAATTAAAACCGGAATAAAGGAACAAATTTGCAGAACAATGTTTTATACATTTCCATTTACAAACAATAATTTAGTTCGTGTTGCTCCTGGAATCAATTCGATTTAGCTGATTTAATTATACTAAATGTTGATTTCATCAGGGACTTATTTTAAACACTCAAACAGCTCGCAAATTAAGCTTGCTTACTTCACACAAGTTGTTGTTCTTGTACACAACCTACAAGGACATTGGAAAAATACTTTACATCCTGTAAGATGTAAATATTTCGGTGGGAAAATCGAAGAGACTGCAATGCAAGGCCTTGAGTATTTCTATGTCTTCCACTTTCATCGGGTATTTCCCTGGTAATCCCCAATCCTACTTAACCTACACCTCAAATATCAGAGGCGAAGTACTGTAACCTGTGTCGACATGATCGCACAAATCCCTGTGTGATATAAATAATATCGACTATTTCTAAATACGTGTCAGCTAAAATTATTGTAATACATGCAAAGTCCGGTTTGAAAAGTATGAACAAATGCATTTTAAAAATAGCTTTCTGATTAAATATATCAGAATATTAGTGGTTTGGAAACAAACTACCCAAGACCCTGCATAAGGCACAAATGTAATTAACAAGTGTAAAATTTAAGTCCTAAGTAAGAACAACATTTTGAGAAACTCATAACGTCTATATCTGAATATTTTGTCGGGTTTGTAAACAATCCTCCATATCATAATTTTGCTGTAATACAATTAGAATTCGAACATAATCTTAACTTAACTAAATCACGAGCATTCTTAAATTCTTCACTTTAAAGAAAATATTAAATTATTTCAACTTAACTGTCAAACCGTTACACTCCCTTCCACATTCTTGAAAAGAACAAAATAGGGACGAATCACATAAAAATTATAATAATAAAATGTTTGGAATTTCTAATGAAAAAGTGTTATTGTTAGTTTGACCGATTAACAATCTGATATGGTTTGAAGATGCCTTAATGACTTAATGACACTGAGAAGACAGAATTAAAGCATTTTAAAAATGTCATTGTTGACCCGTACTAAAATGGTAAATAGTTTGTTTTTAACCTAATTGCGCTTTAATGATAAAATTTAGTCTTTTCTACTAAATGATTAGCGAAAATACATCAAAAACAACCTTTGGGGTACAATTCTGATACATAATTAATTCAATGATAAAATGTTTATATTTCACACATGTATCTAAAAAGAATTGAAAATAAATAAGAATTTAAAAATTACAGGAGCAGTATGAGCGTCGTCTAATTTTTATTGCACGCTAAAAACACAGAACATAATTTTTCTTCATTAGTTATATT